GACTTAAGATTCCAACGGACTTTCTATTCTAACTCACATTTAAAACATGAAAACTTAAGAACACATTTAGTTTAGCTATCCAAAAACTAAATTGCTGGTTGTTACCGAAGTTTTTTTTTCATTTTCTTATATTGAACATTAATATAACAGTACAAAAATTTACACAGGCAAATAAGATACATCAAACAAACACATTTACTTTAGATAACATACCTTCATCACTGAAGCAATTACAACAATACGTTTTCCCGTAAAGTTTGGCAAGAAAGCGCCATTTACGCGAGTGGCCGGCAGAACACCTTCATCCATATCGATGTTTTGCTTATTTTCTTTCAATTGAAGATCAACAATGGTCTAAATCCTTTTACACATAAGATGCCTTCCCAATTTCTTCAGTCAGAGAGTATAGTCCAGTTGCTTTTGGCGGGCCGCTCCATATACTCTTTGGTCCACTCAATCAACGCCCTCTGGAAAGCAATTTAAGATCACGTTGACTCAATTCTCAATCAAGTAAATAAATCACTTTCGCCCACCAACCAAACCACAAAGAGAAGTTTCCTAGAAAATTATAATAATTTCAGTTATACCCCTATAATTACAGGTATAATACTCTCAGAGCATACCACAATCGAGGGCATAAGTTTTGCCAACATTTTCCTGTGAAAATGGTTAAAATAGTCTGGCGGTATGAGTATAGAACCATTGATGTAGGTCTATGATAGAACACTCTTCATCCATGGTATGAGTACAATGACAGATGAATATGTAAATATCCTGATGAACCGTACATCACATAATATTACTTCAACTTTGTACATACAAGAAAAAGTTTGAAATCATTAAATGTTGAAGAGTGTCTCAAAGTGAAGGCTAAAAACTACTTTTGAAACCGTAGAGTAAACATTAATGCCTGGTAGGGAACTCAAGAAATTTTGTGGAGTAAGATCTCATACACCGTTTGCGACCTGAGAGTATATTATTATTTTTTATGTTCGTTATACTGACGTTTCGGAAGACAATTCAATTGATTTTCATTACTCAACGCATTTTTCTAATTTCAAATTGTTCTGATCAGTTCTGATAATAGGCATTGTTCACAGTACATTTCTTGAGGCGACCAAGCCGTTCGATATGTATATCATGAGCCGCGTGTGGGTCACGGCGTGCTATGACGAAACTGTGCGTTCAGGCATTACCTGCAAGGCTCGTGCTGGAGTGTAATCGTGACGTGATGTATGACCTTGGATGTAGCCGAACCCCACTCTCATTCGTAGGCTTCGTCGGGTGATATCCTAACACGCCGTCGCTGCCCGGTCAGAGCGCAGTTTGGAGCAGTTCGCAGCCGGTCAGTGCGTGGCGGTGTGAAGTTAAACGGCTACATCCAGCTCCTTCGGTATAAAACTGTTTCGACATTTAGTGAGGAGTATCGTGCATCCAGGAGGAATCTTGCAGAAGACACTACATAGCACCATGAGTGAACAGTAAGCTATAAATACGTCTAATTAATCGTTGTCTAGTCCGATATCTGACTTATGTACGCGAACAAAAAACGTCATTTCACGAGATATTTCCTTATCCCTTGTGGTTTTAGAATTTTAAGAAAATCGCACGTATTGTTTAGGTGTGAAATTATGGCATTGAAAGATTAATGACCGTTGTAAAACGTTCAATTTTACTACTTTTGTGTATTCGTACGTCCGCTACGGAAAATTGTCTTGAAAAACATTCAGAATTATTAATTTGCATATAGCGCATTTCTTAGCGAAAAATAATCTTTATATGTATTTGACATTGCTTTTGAACATCATTAGCAACGCCCGTATGTGAAGTAGACCTGTGCATATTCACGACTTGGATATTCGCCGTAAATATCAAACTTTGAATTTGACATTGATATGTTAAATGAAACATAGTAAAGGCTGCAAGTGGTAGAAAATATTAACAGGAGTACAAATATTATGTAGTAAAGACGAATGGACTATCAACAATGAAATGCGATTTGTAATGTGCATGGTAATGAAATATTTCCAAGGAGAATGAGTGTGTTCTTTTAAAAATTCTATTGATGTGATTCTGCGAGGAATGATTCAGGCTTTTTGTGCCGAGAAAAATAAATGTATTCAAAATACCGCAAAAATTCAATTTTGCACTATCATGATTATTAAAGCGCAGTCAGTGAATGACTCTCAGTGCCGTGTCCAAGCCCGGGCCCAATTAAATGTTTCAAAAAATAAAATAAAAACTTATGAAATATGATTAAACTATTCAAAAATTAGCATGACGAAGTGATGTCGCGCATCATTAGATGTTTATAATATAGAATGTTGATAGTTGATACATTTCAATTTTATATTTCAATGTAATTATAAATGTTTTTCTTTCTTACACGTTTAAGTTTTTTCTAAATGTTAAATTGAAAACTGAGAAATACTTTCGAGATATTAATTTAAAAAATGTGAATTGATAGGATTTTCTTTATACTACAGCATCGAAACTGGAGGGGGGATCAGTGAAAGCCCCCCCCCAAATTAACATACGTCCAAGGGCCCCCAATGTTGTTAAAACGGCCCTGGAGCCACTGTTGTCGAACCGACGACTGTGGGCGAAGTTGAGAGCTAATGTCGGAGCTAAACAATTTCGGGCAAAACTGAAATTAATAATAATATAATATTATTTATCGAGTCACGTAAACAATTTCAATCGTGTACGGCGAGTTGGATACAATGTGTGTGGAAGGAGTGCAATTGCGCCCAACTTGAGAGCAGAAATCGAAATTACATTATCTGTCCAGAAGTAAAACAAGGAGTTATGTCAGCATTTGCTCAAAGGATCAGGAAAACTAGAAAAATTCAAGACTCTTCCAAAAGGAACAAAAAAATGCCTTATAAAATGTGTTATCCTTTTTGAAGGGCGCGGGAAATCCTCACTCCAATGTAATTCATATTGGATGAGTTGCAATGTGGCAAGTAGTTAATTTGTAAATAATAATAGTAAAAAAGTGGATTAACATATGGAGAGAAATAAGTTGCGCACGTTATCTTGAGTTCCAGAATCCCCACACTCTTGTTTAACGAGTCTGGTTGCCACCTACTGAAAGCTCCTCACGGGAGAGTCTTGTATAAAGACAAATCGACAGTAAGGGTAGGCGGAGAGAAATTGAACTGATACAGTCTTGAGATTACTACACGATTGTGATTGGATAGGATAATTTGACGGGTGCGATATTCAACATTTTATAAGTTAATCGATTGAGCAGGTCAGCTGGCAATTTTTGAAGTCGCGGGAATATCTTGGATAGGAGCTAGTTTGCTCAAAACTAGCAAATGTTGCGTTTCAAGGTCTTACGCGAAAAAGGGAAGGCAGACCTACTGCAGGGAGTGCTGTGAAGCGATAGGGTGTTGAGGGGTGAGAGGATTAGGATGACGGTGGGAGGTGATAGTGGCATTTTTGAACCATCTCAGCATTCGCCTCATGACCGAGGGAAAATACGAAAAAACCTGGACCAAATGGCCACTCGGGGATCGAACACGGGCCACCCGACTGCGAAGTCGGCGCGCTATGCACTGAGCCACCATTTCGCTCGGTCAAGAGAAGGGTACCAGTAAGGGTACATTATGAACGGATCACGGTGAAGGATATTACAATATTTTAATATTATGTAACAGTTACAATTAATACTAGAAAGTGTGTGCCAATGTAGCTCTAGTCTTTAGTTTTAGCTTAAAACTAAAAACAAGATCCAAACTACTTTTTTTTTACAATTTGAACATTTACTTCGGTTTCATATTAATAATACAATTGTATACAAATCTAAAACTTCAAATGATTTTCAAAACTATTTTCAATTGGGAAACAATAAACAATTTATTGAACACTAATCTAATTGAACACTAGCAGTAAAAAAAAAGCATATGGCGGAAACATTCATTTTTATCAATAAAGGGCCCCTTGTCTTCATGATTTCCTTTTTTTATGTCGTATCGTAAACCGCATCCTCAGTGTCACTTATCAGGTTGCTGTACGAAAGATCTAATTTGCTGGAATGAATTTGCAAATGCCTCGAAAAAATGGTATCCACAATTCACTACTGCACTTTAAAGAGAAATGAGACAAAAGACTACTTAGACCAATACCAACTAAAATCGTATACTTGTCACTCAAGTCCTTACAGGAAAATGAACCATTGCTGTATGCAATCTTAGTCTGTTTTATTTCTATAGTATGTTTTGCGGCTCTAATACCCAACCTATCTTAACAAACACAATCAAAATAATTTCACATATTTCATTTAGTTTGCTCTTTCACTTTAAACTCCCTATTCAAACGAGCTGCATTCGTTGTCTGTTGGTGATTAACTGATCTTAGGAACATTCTTTAAATCCGGTTTGCTTTAAGTCGTAATATAAAAAAGCATGGTAATTAAGGATATTTAGGAAGCATTTTCGTGAAGAGAAAGAATTAAACATTCGTTTGCCATTTGAAACGTTGGAGGAAGGGGCGGCAGCATCTTGTCAGGAAGAAACCATTCGATAATAAAACTGCAATTAAAATGTTATGTCGACTAAGAAGGGCCCTTAAGGTAAAAAATAATGTCGAATGTATGAACAGTCTAGTCTCTAGATTCGATAATTTTACGTGGCATAGTTTTTTAATAGTCATTGCCAAATTGAAAGAATGAATGTTCGAAAATATGTGTCACCTACTTTAAGGTTCTTCATTGTATTTTGAAGCTCATTTTCACGTTAATAGCTTGTTAATCTTTTTTCTTTTCTTTTAACTTTTCTGTCATTTTGGTGGGAAAATCAAATATGTATTGCTCTCCTCTTGTAACTATTCATTTACTCCAGAGTAAAAAGGTCATGTAGTTTGTGTGACATTTGAAAATTCAAAAGTTGAAATAAAATGGCCCTTGCACTGCTTATTTCGGTACGCGTTTTCTATTCGTACAATAACCTTACAATGCTACAAAATGGCTCAGGCTTTTCCGTATTAGTTTCCTATTTCCTTTGATGTCTCGCTATTCGAAGTTGCCACATACTCTTGCCAGCTGCCATCTATCACCATCCAAAGTACATTTTTTGAAATTTTCTAAATTGTTTGGTTTCTTAATAGTATAAAGGAAATACTATTTTTATAATATTAAAGAACAGTAAAACCTCGTCCTACATAGATTTTTCTTTGAAAAATTTGGAGACTTTTTAAGAAAATAGCGTTTAATTGCAACTGTAAATTCGAAATTTGAAGCTTTTTTACAGAAAATGTTCGTGTTTTTGAAAATTTCAATTAGAAGTCATTTGAAACACATCCTCTCACAATTACAGTAGTGTTTACAAATTGCTGTAAATGTGCATTTTAACGGCGTGAGAGATGTTAAAAAAATACCTTTGTTTAATTTTTGAAAAACAAAAAATACCCCGAAATGAACTTTACGTCATATTAAACGGTACAATTGGCGCTACCCGTTCGACAAGATTGAAGAAAAAATTGAGATTTTTTGAGAAAATGGCGTTTAAGCGTAAAATACGGAATGTTAAGCTAGTTTTCACCGAAAATAGTTTACTTTTCGAGAAACTTTATCTGACATTATTCAAAGCACATGTACTCATAAATACAATAATGTGAACAAATTGCCGCTAGTATAAATATTAACAACGCGAGACAAGTAAAAACAATAAATTTTTGTAATTTTTGGAAAAAACAAAAGTACAGAACAATATGGAGTTTGTCATGTTATAGAGTGCATTTAGTGTTATCCCTACCAGAAGTTAAAAGAAAAAGATTTTTTGAGAAAATATTAGTTTTTGTAATTTTAAAAATTGCACATATTGCATGCAATATTACACGAAAACTACTAAAATCTTCAAAATAATGTACATGACCTAATGAAAGAACTGCCAATGGAGAAAAATTGTATTTTAAAGAAAAATCTCAATCTGCAATTTTGAAAATCTAACCTATGCCACCTTTATAAGTAGTTTTTCTCTATTCTTACAAGAAATCTAAAGAAAAATGTGGAATTTTTTGAGAAAATTTTGAAAATTTCTCCATGTAAATGTTCCATGGGTCTCCATGTAAATTACCCCCAAATTTTGAAGAATATTTTTCAAAATCTCAAAGCTTAGACCCAAACCAGAAGGAAAGAGGTTTGAAAAAAATCCTTCATATGGTTTCGCCGGTAGTGGTGTTCAGACTGACGTTTTGCCGTCAATTTGCTTTTTCGATATCAAGGTCCCACAAAACGGGGATTTTGGCTACATCACATGTTACAGGATTTTTTTTCTTAATTTAGCAACTGAATTTATCCACTCTTTTGTTATAAGTGCCTTGCAATGATTTTTTTCTGCCGAAAATCCGCGGGATTTTTCCGCAGCATTACATAACTTTCCCTATACTACGTATATACGTATGTGTACAGGAAAGCAAAAAACTAGTGAAGCTACAACAGCAGATATTGCCCATATTATTTGTAATGTCCAGAAAGTACGTGATGTTTTAACACCACGCAGTTTTTTGTTTTAATATTGATTACAAAATAGCAACCCATACTCCTCTACTCCTAACACAACGAGCAACTAGTGGTGCTAAAAACAACACGTACTCGTATTCGCCCGGGAAAAAAAATCGGGAAAGACTAAATGAAAGATAGTTATTTTTGTTGCGTGAATACGAGGAAAATTATTTCAAGAAATGGCCACAATAATAACAAATGCTAAACTGAAGCGCCAGTGATTGAGCGAGAGCTTATTCACAGTGGGTCCCAATGATGTATATGATCTCCCAATGATGTCCGTGGCTTCGTTTGTATACTTGACCATCGCAATGAATAGTGCTACTCGCCAGACACCTACCGTGCGATCACGAATCGTTATAACAAAACAAAACATAACAAATAAAGAAAACGGGAAAATGTTTGGTGTAATCCATGCTGTGTAATCACTACAAAACGAGTCAACGAACAACTTGGATTATTTGTGTTTTACAAGATGTTTTCGATATGCCTTGTTGCCCGTTCTACTTTACGTAGTTTACGGACGAAAATTTTACGAATTCATTTTCAGAAAGTCCCAGAATGAGTAACTCGATGGCATAAAATGGGAGAGAGATTTCAAAGCTGGTTAATTCTAATTAAAATTGTAATGTAAGTCTAGCATACTTAAATTAGATTTAAAACTCCTGATATCGCTCGAGTCAATATCAGTTAGGGGCCATTCGAACCCTGCCTCAATGGGAATGAAATCTCCCATCAAAGATCCGGACTGCACTGTCGAACACAAGCAGGCAAAGGAGGCTCTTCGAGGCTGGTGGAACGAGAGCTGGTACCTCTTTCACAACGGCTCCTTACGCAATTGGCACCACCTAGGTGCTGCCTCGGTGCAAAGACCTGAATGAAGGCGAACGCTCGCAGTGAAGGGGCGATGTGGGTCACTATAGGGTTCTGAAATCCGCTTCGTTGACTATGCAATCACTCTAGTCAACGGGAGTGGAGGCTTGCTTTTGTAAGACACCGATTCGAATTCTTTCCCGATCAGAAACTAGTGTTGTCTTCCTGGCTCACAAACATCTGATGCTGTTTTCTTTTAGCCGAAGGGCGAAACGTTACGCAGTAACTACTACGCTTCAAAGAGCTCGTCAGTGCCTTTCTTCAATCTCTCATTTTGAATGAGTGATCCAAAACCGATCAAGCACACTTAATTATCATTTATGCCAAAACATAAATCGCTAAATGAATTATGTTTCTCTAGAGTTTGCGTTTTCTCGCAGACATCCTCAAACGTTGCCAGGAAATTAAATAATTCGCTGAACATATATTTTGATAGCTTCAATGTGCTAGAGGAAAGAAGGCATTTTGAATAGTTCAGTGAACAGTAAAAGCAATACCATCAGGAGTAATGTGAAATAATCTCGTTATCATCTCCCACCATCAGATTTCTTCAAATATTCGTTTTACCTAGTGCCGCCAGAAAAACCACCTTCCTCTTTCCTATAGGAAACCTCTTTCAATTTTTATTTAAACTATATTGACGGCATCTTTTTTTCTCCTCCAGATAACTATATTTATAATTTGTTTATGGCTTCAAAGTTTAATTCATAAAAAGTGAACCTGCTTTAATTTGATAATTCAGTAAATTATTGAATCTGCAGAATTGAGAGTTTTTGAAGGATTAAATATTGGTCACAAAGTGGTTGCTGTCTTGTCAAACTAAATTGAAGTTTCAATGTAATTATTTTTCATTATTTTGCAGAGCAGACATTGCTCTTATTGGTTTGGCAGTGATGGGGCAGAATTTAATTCTGAATATGAATGATCATGGATTTGTTGTCTGTGCCTACAATCGTACCACAGAAAAAGTGGATCAATTTCTTGCCAATGAAGCAAAAGGCACAAAGGTTATTGGAGCACACAGTTTAGAAGATATGGTTGCAAAACTTAAGAAACCAAGGAGAGTGATGATGTTGGTAAAAGGTAAATTTCTTTTACATTAAATCTTGAAAATTTGTTTCACAACATAATTTCAAGAAAGTAAAATTACCTTTTTGTTTGTTTGCTTGTTTTGCCAATAGTGTCTTTTGTCAATGTATTTCATATTACATAAACAATTTATTATTTACTGTGAGCAAAAGATTACTCCAAGGTTGATGACATATTTTAAGAATGCTTGATTAAAAATCTTGTTTAAGAATTGACCATCTGTATTTATTTACAATTTAATACTACTTTACAAGAGCCAGACTGTGTTCATTTTTTTTATTACCATTTTAGTTTTTAGAATAATTTACATATGTTCTGGGTTTGGATATCAACAAATCTTTATTAGTCATTTGAAATAAATAAAAATGAAATTTTGTAGATGCTTCCAGTCTCTTGATCCTAAATAAAAGAAAATAAACTTTGTTTCCAGCTGGACAGGCTGTTGATGACTTCATTGTTAAGTTAGTGCCTCTGTTAGAGAAAGGTGACATAATCATCGATGGTGGAAATTCAGAGTACCAAGATAGTCAACGTCGTTGTAAACAGTGAAAGAGAAGGGCCATTCGTTTGTTGGATCAGGTGTATCTGGTGGTGAAGATGGTGCACGATATGGGCCTTCACTTATGCCAGGAGGCAACCCTGAGGCTTGGCCTAGTTATAAGAGTATTTTTTCAGGTAATAGGATGAAAGCTAACGTTATCTTGCCTCTATGCAGTAGTGCAACTGTAGAGTATTCACAAAGAAGTGTTGAATTCAGTACTTGATCAATTTGAAATCAATTTAACCCTTAACTAAGTCAAGGAAGTGATTACAACAATTCTGTGAAATACTACTTTACTTAAATTTAGTAAGCAAAAGAGACTACAGTAATGTATTTGACACAGCTGTGGTGAGAGTATTAAGAAGAACTGAGATTGAGAACAAAGCTATACACAAGTAAAATGTTTATTTAGATAATATTTATGGAAGGTGTTATTATGCATCTAAAGCATTAAACACAATGTATGAAAAACAAAATAAAACAATTTACTGGTAAATACTAATGGTCGTGCATGTCTCGCATAGGGAAAATGTCAACTAGTCATTACAAATGTTTCAGTCGATTTCTGCAAAGGCAAATGGTGAGCCATGCTGCGACTGGGTAGGAGAAGATGGAGCTGGACACTTTGTGAAAATGGTTCACAATGGAATAGAATATGGTGATATGCAATTGATCTGAAGCTTAAATCTCATGAAATCAGCTCTAAATCTGACAGCACCAGGAAATGAGTCCGGGTAGCATATTTAGCCTTCATGAATGTTCATACAATCATGAATATTAATTTAAAGGGTTTTCTGAATTAATGCTCAATACTATTGATTTCAGGTTTTTGAAGAATGGAACAAGGGAGAACTAGATTCATTCTTAATCGAAATTACCAAAGATATTATGAAGTTTAAGGATAGTGATGGTAGGAGTCACACTAACAGTTTCGTGAATAAATAAAATAGCTACATTTCTTGTTGAAATTAATACATACTTCCATGAATTGTCTTAGGATCCTATCTGCTGGAGAAAATTCGTGATTCTGCTGGGCAGAAAGGAACAGGAAAATGGACAGCAATATCAGCTCTTGAGTATGGTATTCCTGTTACTCTCATAGGTGAAGCCGTATTTGCTCGTTGCCTTTCGTCTTTGAAAGATGAACGTCGCCAAGCAAGCTCTGTTCTCAAAGGCCCTACTAACACAACTTACAAAGGAGACAAGAAGGAATTTCTTGAGCACATTCGACAGGTAAGTTTGACACAATATTTCTTTGAACATTTCTTTCAATTTCACTAAATGTATTATTTAGAAGAGCGTAAGAAGGACTTAAAGGTTCTAAAACTATTTCAATGCCAGTGAAATAATTTTCTCCACACTAATTTACTACTCCTTAAAATATTTATTACAGGCACTCTACGCTTCAAAAATCATTTCATATGCACAAGGTTTCATGTTACTCAGAGAAGCAGCTAAAGTCCATGGATGGAACCTAAACTATGGAGCCATTGCTCTAATGTGGAGAGGTGGATGCATTATTAGAAGGTATATGGATATTGATTTTAATGTTAAAGTAAAACTATTCTCATAGTTTGGTTATCTTGTAATTACTACTTCACTGCAATTGCAAAATATTTTATTGTGATGGGAATGCATGATGAAAAGTTTATTTAAAAAAAATTATTTATGACTTTCTTTATGTGCAGTGTTTTCCTGGGAAACATTAAGACAGCATTTGAACGCAAGCCCGATCTCCCAAATCTGCTCCTGGATAGCTTCTTTGCCAATGCTGTCCAGAGGTGTCAAAATTCATGGCGTACAGTTGTAGCATCAGCAGCTCAGTTGGGTATTCCAACTCCAACCTTCAGCACAGCTCTTTCTTTCTATGATGGATATCGTTCTGACTGGTTACCAGCAAATCTTCTTCAAGTAAGTATTAGCACTTTTCTCAATTGCATTTCACAAATTTCAGGGTTGGTATTAAAATAATAATAATAATAATAATAATAATGGTAATATGCTGTCCAAACTTTGTAGTCTTATCATAAATAAAAGCAACAAGAATGCAGATTTGCTTATAACACTGCTATCAAGAAATCAATGATTTTTTTGTTTGGTTGTCAAATGAAAAGTTCAGATATATCTCCAAAATATTGCTTTTCTGATCAGGACATACCAAAAATTTATAGAAAATGCAAGAAAGTGTAACAAAATTCTAAAAGACCTAACAAACAGACTTCGTATGTATTATGGAAAAATGTGGAAAAACTGGTGGAAAAACATTAATTTTCACAATTTCAATACCTTTGTACCTTCATTTTACTAAAGTATTTTATCTAAAAATCAAATAGGTTTTTTGCAAAGGTTTAACTATTTAGCAATATAGTCCACAAATCTACCTTGCTTATGATTTTCTATGACCATGAAACTACAGTAATTGACAGAATTTTTATTCAGCCATTTTAGTGTGCCACAATGTTTCCATTTTCAGGGTGAATATATTTGGGGTTACTTATGCAAAAACATTAAAAAAAGCAAAATAGGCTTCAAATCTTTTATTTTATAAGTTACCAATAATTTGTATTAGTGCAATAAACAGAGTTTGTGGTCAGGACATGAGAAAAAAACAATTTCTCCTCCCTTCTTTTTAGCAAAACCTCCATGTGAAAAAGTTTAAAACTATGAATATGCTAAAAAAACACCACTAAAATGTTACTATCAAGCATGTACAAATAGTAAAGCTGAGAAGAATTCTGCATTTTTTCAGTATAAATCTTGGCTGTTACCATGTAGTTTGCTTTTGTGCATTTTCTGGAAAACCGATTTGGGTTCTTACAGAAACCTATTTTACTATTTATTCAATGTTCCTTTTATGACTAGGCTGCTCCCAGGGACAGTAGATACTAGCAAAAGTATCTCTGCCATAGATTGTCACAATTAGTTTTTTCTGAACAGAAAGACTAATTAAATTAGCTAAATAACTGTTTATAATGCCTTTTACAATTTTGTGATACACCCATGGGCTTAAAAAGTGCAAAAATGTTTCTTATCAGCTCTGACCACATTTAGCAAAGTTTGAAGTATGATTACACCTATCCCTTCATTCCTTCAATAAGAGAAAAATACATTTTAAGACAGAAAAAAATGAAATTTTGAGTAGTTACTACGTAGGATCTAGTTTGAAATTCTGCCACAAAAATGGGGTATCACTCACTATACAATGACTATACAAAAATTCTGTATTTTCAATCAAAATTCTCAATGTGACCTTTTGAAAATAATCTCTTTTGGTTTAATTTACTGAATCCACTATTAAAGGGGGCTTTTATTTTGAATGTCTCATTTTTCAATAGGCACAGCGAGACTATTTTGGAGCCCACACCTACGAGCTTCTCAACAATCCTGGAGTATTCAAGCACACCAATTGGACTGGTCATGGAGGAAATGTATCTGCAAGCACTTATCAAGCTTAAGTTGGACCCAAATGTTTGATATTGTTTGAATTGCCAACATCCAGGGAGAGGATCATAAGCATTTTCTCAAAAAGCTGAGAAAGTTGAGCTACTTAGTGCATTGCTTTGGTGAAGGGATAGTTTTCATTCCATGGTAAAGCTCTCTGAAGGTTGCCAACATTTTTGACCAAGAGACAGTGAAGTGTTTGAAGTTACAATATACAATAGATCACACATCTTTTAATTGTATATTTTTATACTTTTGTAAATTGTATTTATTTTGGTACATGTATGATGTAATATTAAGATTAAACAACTAAAAACTTATTTGTTTTTATACTGAAGAAAAAGATTCCTGGTAGATTCAAAATGAGAGTACAAAGCACATTACAAAATTCATATTGCAATGAGCTGCAAATATTACATGCAATAATACAATATAACACTGCAAATAATATATGCATATTTTTTGAGTGCTTATTACCACAGTTTTAATTTCCTGTAAAGCAAAAACAATTTTTTTTCTTCAAAATATCACTAGAATTGCACTTTCATATTTCCTATGCTCCTGCATGTCATTTTAATGATTATAAGTAGGGAGAGGATTTTTATGCTGTAAAAAATGTTGAAAGATTTTAAAAATATGCATTTAGGGCCAAGGAATTCTGAAATCTGCACATTAATATGTATTAAAATTAACAATATTTAATTTTGTGTAGAAACCTTTATTAATAACATTTCAGGAGAAGCACAATTTAAAAATTAAGACGATGTCTTGTTGCATTTTTTCCTTCCTAGTTTAAAAAATCAATAAACATCCTACATTGGCACAAATATTTTATGTAATTGGAGGGGAGGGGGGGGGGGGGGGACACTAAACTGACAGGGTCTTTTTAATCGATGAATGCTTCCAAATAAATAGATTCTATGAAAAGATCAAAGGTTTAAGAGAAGTCTCTATTTTAACATGATATGCAAAATGTGCGCCTATAATTATACAAATATGCATGTACAGGAAAAACTAACATATTAATGTATACAGAATCTAATTTAACAAAGTGTCAAAAAATTTTACTTAGCTATGCCCTTAACAAATAGATACAAAATTGCAAAATTGTAGATAGTAATAATAAGTCGTCAGTTATTCTTGTCATACATCAATAAATATTTCCTTTTGTTACTTAGCAGAATTCTTAATAGTATATAGGAAGATAAAATAGATTGTGCACAAACATCTTGAAAATAAAAATGTTATATAATTTGGATCTACTGCCTAACCCTTGTTCTGCTATTTACTATAAAGTACTATACCTGGGGTGTTTTTGGATTTCAAACTTTCCTGACAATTATGTAAACACAAATCTGTACAGCACTATAGAGTGTAAATAATTGATATTATGTAAGGATACATTTTATAAATTATTTTCACGAACATATTATTTTTTTATATTAAATATTTCATAAATGGAATAACTTTTACTGTATGTAACCTCCATTTTTGTTACATAATGCTTCAAAATAATTTCTATGAGTTTGTGAAATTTATTTCAGAATAATTTAAGTACTGAGTTTACCTGACACATTTTGAAGATCATGACCAGGTATTTCTAGTGAGAATGGAAAACAGTGGGCATTATTTTACTTATATGTTAGGTCAAACTGGTTCTGTGTAAGGGAAAAAAAATTAATAACTCTTTATAAAAATTTGAAAAATATGTGAAAATGGTTTGATACCTGCTTAATATGTGCACAAAGGCATATCTAGAAAACAAATTATCCTGCAAATATTCAGGAAAATATTAACAAATTAATAATGATGGGGTCCATAAAGACCCCAGATATGGTATGAGCAGAACAAAACCTTCATCCCAACAGAACAAGGAGATGAGAGAAGGTCCTAAATATTTTCAAAAATAGTTGCAAATACAAAACTACAACGGTGGGGTGAGGTATTTTAGGTAAAAAAAAACTTATGCTAAAAACATTGTTTTAGAAATTGAAAAATGCCAAACGAAGAGTCAAGAACACACACAAACTGAAGACAGTTTCCACAAAAATGTACTCGATATAAACCAAGAGAAACAAAACTTTCAGAAGACCGTGAAGAGAATTTTGAAGGTTTCTAATAAATAAATGTGACTATATTTTACCCTTAATCAACTATCTGTTCATAAATCAATATGAAGCTTATTAAACAATAGTTTATTTTCAAAATCATGAATGACAAATTCAATTTCTTAGAGGATTGATCGCTAATATTTCATGAGTGCGTAGGCTTCCGTGGCCAGGGTTTGTATCTTCTGGGCTATCTGGGAAGCACTGCGTCTAATTCTTTTTTTCTTCTTTTTTCGATCAAATTGTATTCCATATGAGGTTTTTAATAACTATGTTACATATTCTTGGAATTAATACTTTGAGGTAGTTTCAGTCACTAAAACAATGACAATACAGTTTTTGAAAAAATGTTAAATAATAAGCTACTCTTTCAGACACCCATTTAATTTGTAAAAGTGCAAGATTGCAATATTCTTTTACAAACACAAAATTCTACAAATATTTTTTGAAGCCAATATTTTTACCATACTTCTATTAATACAATGATTTCTATCTATTCCAAGAATTCTCTGAAATGCAAAAAATAGACATATTTCTCTCATTACCTATTGTTTGTTATATTTGAAGCAGGATCTTAACAGAATGAAGAGCATATGCTAAAATGGGGAGAGATGTAATTAATGAATTTCGAAGTATTTGAGATAATTTTCTTTAAGCAACTTTGAGTTGTAATTTTTATTTCAATGTCTATATATTTCAAAGATTTCAGAAAAACTACTATTCACTATTTAAAGCACTAATATTTTCATTCTATTAATTAGATTCATAAGCTTGAATCCTGTAGGTATTTTTTCACGACTGGAAACAAATATAACATTTTTTATTATATAGCAATTCTTAAGAATATCATTCCACTTCGACATAAGACCATATTCTACCATAAGATTTACTGTGTCCCATTAAATGTAGTGCATTGTCACTGGCTTTTACAGTGTAGCACCCTATATCTTCTGTACAGTTGGCAAAATCTCACCATTTTACGAGAGGCAGAATCTCCCCCTACTTTGCTCATTTTCTCAGCATACACTTGGACTTAATGGGCATTTTTTTTTTATGTATGTACTTTAAGGCATGCAGGAAGAGATGATGGAGGAAGGATCTCACCACATGGTCTGTGAATGGTCGATTAAGGTCCTGGGATTCACTCTAAAACGATAGGAGAAAATCATATTAGCCAGCCTGGATAAATTAGCTACAACATAGTTGCACAATGAGCATATTCACTCAAATGGATCCGACAATGTGCGACTCGAAAAAAAAAGTGCTACCAAAGCATAATATTTCTCGCATTGTTTCTAAACGCTTTTAATAATATATGCTACTACATAAACCAGCAAAAATGTTAGCAGGCAGTATTTTTTTTTTTTTTCGCTCCGAGACTCGAACTCAGATCCCCAGAGTTTACGTGCCGGCACTCGTACTACTACGCCACACAAACGCCGTATGGTCAAACTTGGGCATAGGCATAAAGAAAGTAAGTGCCCGATTCATTTAAAAAAAAAAAAAGAAAGGAGAGGGAAAAAAAAAAACCCTTCAATTACAATTTTCGTAAAAACTCCCCAAGCCTCCAGTCCGTTCAGGTCAATCAGGGAATATCAATTTTGAAGAATATCAGTTGAATGGTTTAGGCGCTAGCGTTGACAGACGGACGTTTTGCCGTCAATCATGGATTTTGGCTACACCATGTGTAACAGGACTTTTTACTTTTCTGAATTTAGCAACAGGATTTATCAACTTTTTCGTTACCAAAGCCAGTTAATGTTTTTTCTAGCGATAATTCGGCGTTTTCTGGCGCGCGATTACATAGCTTTCTCTTCTTACGAAGAATTCGTAATGCGAGAAAGTAATAATTTTGGAACTGTTAGGAATCTTAAGTTAGTCTCATGAGTAGTGTTTATAACGTATTTAAATTTCATGTCGATAGATGCATTGGTTTACTTAAATCAGTTCCGGAGAGTATAGATTTATTCATACGGATGCACAAAATCTCAACAACTGATTTGACGTAACATACGTTTCATAAATTGCAAAAAGAAAGTTGAAAAAAATGATTAAAAGTTGCAAATTGCAAAAGCATGTACCGACACATCCGGTTTATTTGTAATACGTATTGATTGCATTGTAGTAGAAATGCTTTAAATGATTTTCAATTAAGTGTCTCGAACCCTCAATAGTTTTCTACAACATTCATCAAATTAAAATCCCCGTGGGGGACTCAAACCAAAGATCTCTTGATTTCAAGTGCTGAATCCGAACACGCCATTTAACAGCCTCGGCCATCCAGGGGGACAACTGCGTTATACTTCCATATTTAAGACAAGTGTTTCAGTTCTAGCATTAAGGAGAAAAACCTTTCTCGGACGACAAAAGGCAGCAGTGAAGAGGATAAGGCCTACCGAAAAAGGGTAGTCAAGACATGGGGAGCAATTAGAGAACTATCTAGAGCGAGAAAATCTTTGTTTTTTCTATAACTCTACCAGTTTATTTATTTACCATACATTGTTAGATACGAAACGTTAATGAAAATATTTTGTGCGGGTTTTCAGAAAATAATATTTTTTGAAATTGCATACATTTGACATTAATTAAGCAAAATCTGCTAATTTTTTAAAAACTTGTACATGACCGTTTGAAATAGAGAATTTTTTACAACAGACTTTGGTTAAAGCAAAATTTTGTAGTTTTTGAAATACTCACGTTATTTTGGAATTTTCGAAAAAATGGAGCCATAGCCGAAAGTGAGACTAGCACCATATAGTTTTAACGTTCCTTATCACATACCGCACCTCCAATAGAAAAGTGATAGAAGTGCCAATTTCTGATTCCTCAGAAATTGCAATTTTAAGTTTCGTAGTTCTATAATACTCGTTATAGATTGTACCAAATATTCACCTTCTAACGAACAGTAATTGAACTAATGACGATTCGCACTTGTGTCACAAGGTGCGATATGTGGACAAAAAAACAAAACAAAACAAAGCTTTCAGTTTTTGACTGTGTCTCTAGTTTAAGCTTTTAAATTTGCAGGGAGTTTGTTACATAGTGTAATGCCTTCCATCAGGGTACTTTTTTGAAAGAGTGAAGTTTCACTATGTGGGACATGCAGATTTCTTTTTTGTGTAGTATCATAGTTATGAACATTGTTTAGAGTAACAAAATCTTCATTTCCCGAAGTGTCTTTTTGTGAAGATTAATATTTCAAATATGTACATGCATGGGGGGTGTAGTATTTGTAATTTTTTTAAGAGTGGTTTGGCGGGATTCATGGGTATCATTCTCAATATTTGTTTTTGGATGATGAAAGTGTGAATACTTTCTGGAGAATTTCTCTTGATTATGATTATGTATTTTAGGTGCAATGAACATTTGCAAAGTACACCATTCGCAATATATCAGAGTTAGAATTTGACTTAAGGCATAATATGACTTGGTAAGTTTGTTGTTTAGATCTGTGATATGGGAGTTCCATTTTTAGATCATCTTGAATAGTCAATCCAAGAAAAGTTGTTTTTGGGGCTATTTTTACAGGCGTTTTTTATCTTAATTGTGCTGGACGACTTTCCTTGAAAGAGTAAATTCTGAAAGACAGTTTACAAAGGTTTATGATGGGTTTATTTCCTGGAACTATTTTACTACACTAGTGCCACTAGGACTGTATGTGCTTCTTTCTGTAGAGTTTGTTGGGTATTTGCTATAATAATAAGTTTGTGTGATTTGCAAATGAACCATTTGCTCTTTTGTA